GCTTGATCCAAGAATTAAAGTTGGTCTACGCGACGAGAGCTACGCGTACATACCAAGAACGATGAATTTCACCGAAGTTTTAAAGAAGAAATTTTAGAAAACTCAAAAGTTTGAGGCTTGCGAGTCATTCTTGAGGTTTCTCTCTTCACTTTACGTTCCAAGAGGTAGAGTTTCTCTTACTTTGATTGATTTCTTACCTAGGGGGTATTATGGAATGGGTAAGGGTATTGAATAACATAGATCATTTGACTATGGTTGTGAAAATGAGTATTGAAATGACTTAAAATCAATTCCTAGCTTGGGTTGATGTATAAAAATTATTGGGTGATTTCTTGGAAATTGGCATTGGTGGGCATGTTATGTGTTTATTTTATGCCTTGAGAATTGAATGTGTTTTTGACATGAGTTATGTATAACATGCTTGTTGTGAATTGTGGTTGAATATTAAATGTTAATATATGTTCATTGCTATATTGACTTGTGATGAAATTGGTAATTATTTACATAAGACATACAATTGCCATTGACACATGTTGAGATGTGTGGTTTGAATATGGCTCATTGACATTCATCACATTGAGCATGACATTGATTGAGCAATGGAGCATCACATTGCATTTGCACGGAAAAAATACATCCATGACCATGAGTATGGGTGTATGAGTGCATGGTTGGATCAATCACCATACTTAATGTTTGATGTGTGGGCTCGGGAAAGTGGGGTTGAATATCCTACTGAGTCGCATGGTTGCATACATGAAAAACTTGTGTCGGGTATAGCAAGAAGGGATAGATCCCCCCTCGGGTGCAAGACCCGACTATTGATTTATACACTTCCGATGGTGCAAGTCCAAAAAAGTGTATCGGTGTGTGGAGCCAGCAGTGCAACACCAAAAGTTCACTACCCAAATAAAGACACATGATTTTGGTTATATAAATGATTCATTTGATGGAAAACATCCAGAAATGAATTGGTTTTTATGAACACATGGGTTTTGTTTCAAAATGATCTTTGGATGTATTTCATCAAAGATAAATATTTTACACATGCATTGCGTAGTGTTGTGGAAGCCGGAGTAGGCTTGGGTGATAATGCATGAGTGAGTCTTATCTCATATCATGACATGACATGGTAGGAATTTCATCTTGAATAACATGTTCTTGAATGAAATGAAGTTATGTTAGTGATTGTTGCATGAGATCATTGCATATGCATTTAGGTGGGGAGTATCCTCTGTGGGAAATGTTCTACTGGGCATTGGCTCACCCTATACGGGAAACATTTCAGGTGCGGGATTAATATTGGCGGAGGACTCGCATTCGGGGCCTCGAGGTTGAAGAAAAGCTGGATTGTGGCTCTTGAAAACAAGTTTTTGTAAAACTTTGGTTAAATGCATTTTTGACATGTAAATTTTGTAAATGCATGTAATAGAACTCGTATGCATTGTGTATAATGTAGAAAACTTCATTATACATGCTTGGGATAGATTTGGGAAGGTTTGAGATGAATTGGAAATGAAAAGCTGATGAAACATAAAATTCTGGACAAAACCTACCGGTAGCTAACAGATAGTACCCGTCCAGCAGGCAAAACCTACCGGTAGCTAACAGGTAGTACTTGTCCAGTAGGAAAAAGCTACCAGTAGCTTACAGGTAAAACTTCTAACGGTAGGTCTAACAAACACCTACTGGTAGCTCTTCCAAAAATCTAAAAATTTAAAATTATTTTGCTAACCTTTTGAACTTTGTTTTCTTTAGTTCAAATAATACAAATGGATATTAAATGAGGTACATTGAGGTACATTGGACCTCCGTTGAATTAAATGCTTAAAGGAACACGAGTTGTACGTGTGGGTTATGATCCCGATTAAGGGGATATGATTAACATGATGTCGGGTCGTGCGACAAGTATGAGTATTTTCACGGGTTGATGGATGGTCAACGGTTAAAAAAGGATCCCCAGTTTTAAGGGCGTCACATAAAACATTGAGTGGCATGAAGACATGTTGCTCCCTTTGTGGTGCAAGGCCAAAGCAGTCCTTAGCTGACACCTTCTTTATCCTCCTCATTTTGTTCTCTGCTTCTTTTCTGTCTTCATGGGGCTCCTTCCTTTTCTCCCCTCTACAGGAGGACGTCTGGCCTTGGTGATGTTCTCAGCATTCATATATTTATGGGCATTTGACAATAAATCTGGCATGCTCGTTGGTGGTTTCTTCAAGATTGAGAACATAACACTAGATGAACGCAGGCCTGCGATAAAGGCAGCCATGGTAACCTTGTCATCTGACTCTTCGATCTAGAGGGTCTCCTTGTTAAAACAGGTGAGGTAGCTTCTTAAACTTTCTTCCTGATCTTGCTTCATGCTGAGTAAGTGGGTAACAAACTTCTGATGTCGGCGCCCTCCATAAAGTGGGAAAGGAATGATTTACTTAGCTTAGCAAAAAAGTTATTGGAAGCTGGTTTGAGTTTGGAGAACTACTGGCATGCAGATCCCTTGAGGGTTGTAGGAAAGACTCTACACATTATTCATCGGGTATGTTATGCAACTACATATGAGATTTATAAGTGTCAAGGTGGTCCAGTGGGTCTTTTGAGCTGTCAAAAGCTTCCATAGTTGGAATCTTGAACTTTGAGAAGAGGAGATAATTAGCTACATCAGCCATGAATGGAGTGTCAGCGTGCCTCATAAGGTAGTCGAGTGTTTCCAACGCTCGTGCCTTGAGAGCGTTGAAGACGTCGCCTAGCTGATTCTGCATCTCCTTAATTTTTTGGTCCCATTGGTTAGGGACGCCCTCTGAATGATCCTTGTAGTGGCTTTCGTAGTCCACGTACTAGTTTTCTCCCTCGTCTTCTTGCATAGGAGGGCCGCCAGTGCAGAAGGATGGAGTTGGCATATGAGAAGGAAGAGTCGAGGTGCTTGGGCACTGAGGAGGGATGCCCTGATGCTGGGAGGTGCCTTGACATTGCAACGGGACACCCTGCTGGGGGGCTCATTGGCATTGAAGACCCTGCTGATGGGTGCCTTGGGCGGATTGCCTAGGGAGGTTCTCCTCCTGGGGGCTAAGGCACAACTCCTTGAGGATGTCTGGCTAGCATCAATTGGAGGATCTGTTGATTTTAGTTTACCAACAACTGCATTGTCTCTAGTAGTTGTTGTCCAGGAATGCGATTTGCTGCAGCGATATGGCTTGCTGATGGAGGCGGGACCTTGTCACTACACGGTGGATTATTATCTTCCAAATGTTGATTCATTGACCTTGTTGTAATACCATTAAATAGAAAGAAAGTAGAAAGAGATGGAAAGACAATAAAAAACTTAGTTGTTTCTCACAGATGGCGACAAACTAATGATGCAGAAAAATAGATTTATGCTCCATCTGTTAAGTACTTAATGCAGTAATAAATAAGGAGAGTCAACACAAGTAAAACATAGTACTTAAACTGTGAAAAAATGTGAAAAATAAATGATTCGGCCAAGATGACCTACTTCACTGTGAAAAACTAAGCTGATCTGAGTATTTTATTGTTTCAAGGAGTATAGGGTACTCAAGTGTGAGAGACATGTGTGTGATTCTCCCCTTGTATAGATGAGACTTACAATTTATAAACGTCTCATAATATATTGAGGCGTCTTTCTCGTATCAGCTGAGGTAGTTTAGTGGAGGTGACGTCTTTCTCGTAACAGGTGAGACAAGTCCGTAGAGGTGGTGATCTGCGCGTTCCAAAGAGATCCCTCTGCCTGCCCGAGTCTCTTATCATGGGCCAACTGACTTGACCCTATCTCAAGATGGCTTTGTTGACCTAGCTTCTTCCTTCTTACAGTGGGCCTGACCTGTCTTCCTAAACTGGGTCTCGAAATTGGACCTCTAAGCTGGACCTTGACTACGACTCTAGGCCGTCCATTATTTTAGGCCTGCTCTGGGCTGAACCCATCAATAACCATGCTATTAAGAAAAAATCAAAACAAAGACCAACGTGTGAAATAGTTGGATAAAGTATCAAAATCTTTTCTGAATGTTATAAAGTCTTATCCGTCAACAATTTATATTGTTAATTGAGAAAGGCGGAGGAATTTGGGGTCTATATATAAAATAACTATAATAACCCTACTTTTAAAAGAAAATTAACTACTTAATAACTCCTTCACCATCTATAACTCCCTATCAACTACATTCAACCACCCTTATAATTTATCTATTTTGGTCTTGTATCACTCCCATTATCGAGAAAATATTTATTACAATGGTAATAGTGTGTGACAATGTAATGTACTAACTTTCTGTATCTCACTTTTTTACAATCACACACATTAGTGTACCGGGTAAACTAGTGAAAATAAATTAATCGAATTTTAAAAATGATTACAAATATTACTCAAAACAACTATACAAAGATTCAGTGTATCTGTTTCCTTCACAAGTTCTAATTATAGACTACAAGCCAAAACATTTGAAAAAGCAAAAGGTAAAATCTGAGCATCACGTTCCCTCAGCATATCTATTCCTTGGAAAGTGTTTTTGACATACTTTCCATCAAATTCAAATATAAATACTGCAGACTGGTTTCAAGAAAAAAAAATTAAGAAAACAGGAAAAGAGAAGTCATACAGTAAAATGAATGGCTGAATGGTCTTTCCCCTGTTATGTTGAATGAATGGCTGAATGGCCTTTCCCCTGTTGAGTAGAATCCCAGAAAATTGCTAAATTATCTTATAAACACATCATTTGCATAGACTAATTATGCAAATAACCCAGGAAACAGAACAATAGGACAAATGAGAGTGTGATTGAATCGATCATCTAGAAAAATCACTTCTTTAATAGCACAGATAAAATTTCATCAGAACATAGAAACACAATTGCAACCATTCCATACCAAAAGAGGAAGAGAGGAAATACTGGTAATATATAAAAGCAATAGAACAGTAGACAGATTCAAGGGGGGCCAGGGGGATGAGCCTTGTAAACTGATCAGTTTACCAGGCAATAGCCCTGCTGAACTCAGTAGTCTTCGCCATCTTCTTCATCATCCACACCTTCTGCACCAACTTCCTCGTAATCTTTCTCAAGAGCAGCTAGATCTTCACGGGCTTCAGAGAATTCTCCTTCCTCCATGCCTTCCCCAACATACCAGTGAACAAATGCCCTCTTGGCATACATGAGATCGAATTTGTGGTCTATGCGTGAGAAAACCTCAGCCACAGCTGTGTTGTTGCTGATCATGCACACAGCTCTCTGCACCTTAGCAAGATCACCCCCAGGAACCACTGTTGGAGGCTGATAGTTGATACCGCATTTGAAACCAGTTGGGCACCTACGAAATCCAGAAATACCAAGTCTTTTAGATTGGATAAAAAATGTTCTTCAAAAAAACGATGCTTAGAGGGGATCACAACCTCGGTGCCTATCCGCAAGGGCAGCAAAAGACCAGAAGCATGTATTGCTATATAATGAATTGGAGGAAACTTGGTGATTCACAACTATTTACATGCCAACCAGAATGTTCTAAGAGGAAATATATGATGTATGTCCTCATGGTATGATAACTAAAAGGTAAAGACTACACCTAAACAAAATCCAGGAGACTATAGAGCGCTACCAGCTTGAATGATTTTAATTTCATAATCCACGAATCACAACTTGACTGGGAAAAAAATTGTCTCCTCATGATTTACCCATTTCCAAATCATATAAAGGAAGTAATGCCCAATATAGTTTTAAATTTAAATCACGAAACGCTACCCCATTTTGTAAATCATTTTCTATGTATGTCTCCTCAACCGATTATTTGCCCATTATAAGTAGTGCATTATTCTTACCAGTCAACAAACTGAACCGTCCGTTTTGTCTTGATGGTGGCAACAGCAGCATTGACATCCTTAGGAACAACATCTCCACGGTACATCAAGCAGCATGCCATATATTTCCCGTGCCTTGGATCGCATTTTGCCATCATGCTTGCTGGCTCAAACACTGCATTTGTGATCTCAGGAACTGAGAGCTGCTCATGGTATGCTTTCTCAGCAGAGATAACAGGGGCATATGAGGAAAGCATAAAATGGATACGAGGATATGGTACAAGGTTAGTCTGGAACTCAGTAACATCCACATTAATAGCTCCATCAAACCTTAAAGAAGTAGTCAAGGATGATATGATTTGTGAAATCAATCGGTTCAAATTGGTGTAAGTAGGCCTTTCAATATCGAGGGATCTCCGACAGATATCATAAATGGCTTCATTGTCCAATAGCACAGCAACATCTGTGTGTTCAAGTAGGGAATGAGTAGAGAGAACGCTGTTATAAGGCTCCACAACTGCAGTTGAAACCTGCAATCACCAAGAGTTAGCTGCAGCTAGTTGACGTAAAACCACAACCAAAGTGAGTCTTCAAAGTCGTAATTTTGTTGACATCAAATTAGCCAAACAGTGGCCATTATCAATAAATGCAGTTCATAACTACTGATATTTCTCCAGTTCCATGAGTTCATGTCCATCAAACCAGAAATAGAAGGGCAAGTTTCACTCTGCCTTCTTGATGTCTCTACACTTCATCCATTCATTAGATTTGTGGACCAAAATGTTTATAATTTCCCTCAAACATAACTGGATGTGTGGCTGCTTGTGACTGGTATACATAAAACAAATATACGGGACAAAAATACCCTTTTAGTTCTTTCAAAATGCCCATACCCTTATCCCTCCAACAATTTTTTTTCCTGTTGTTTATTCTATTGGTTTGACCAATCTTTTTTTTTTTTTTTTNGAATGCGATTTGCTGCAGCGATATGGCTTGCTGGTGGAGGCGGGACCTTGTCACTACACGGTGGATTATTATCTTCCAAATGTTGATTCATTGACCTTGTTGTAATACCATTAAATAGAAAGAAAGTAGAAAGAGATGGAAAGACAATAAAAAACTTAGTTGTTTCTCACAGATGGCGACAAACTAATGATGCAGAAAAATAGATTTATGCTCCATCTGTTAAGTACTTAATGCAGTAATAAATAAGGAGAGTCAACACAAGTAAAACATAGTACTTAAACTGTGAAAAAATGTGAAAAATAAATGATTCGGCCAAGATGACCTACTTCACTGTGAAAAACTAAGCTGGTCTGAGTATTTTATTGTTTCAAGGAGTATAGGGTACTCAAGTGTGAGAGACATGTGTGTGATTCTCCCCTTGTATAGATGAGACTTACAATTTATAAACGTCTCATAATATATTGAGGCGTCTTTCTCGTATCAGCTGAGGTAGTTTAGTGGAGGTGACGTCTTTCTCGTAACAGGTGAGACAAGTCCGTAGAGGTGGTGATCTGCGCGTTCCAAAGAGATCCCTCTGCCTGCCCGAGTCTCTTATCATGGGCCAACTGACTTGACCCTATCTCAAGATGGCTTTGTTGACCTAGCTTCTTCCTTCTTACAGTGGGCCTGACCTGTCTTCCTAAACTGGGTCTCGAAATTGGACCTCTAAGCTGGACCTTGACTACGACTCTAGGCCGTCCATTATTTTAGGCCTGCTCTGGGCTGAACCCATCAATAACCATGCTATTAAGAAAAAATCAAAACAAAGACCAACGTGTGAAATAGTTGGATAAAGTATCAAAATCTTTTCTGAATGTTATAAAGTCTTATCCGTCAACAATTTATATTGTTAATTGAGAAAGGCGGAGGAATTTGGGGTCTATATATAAAATAACTATAATAACCCTACTTTTAAAAGAAAATTAACTACTTAATAACTCCTTCACCATCTATAACTCCCTATCAACTACATTCAACCACCCTTATAATTTATCTATTTTGGTCTTGTATCACTCCCATTATCGAGAAAATATTTATTACAATGGTAATAGTGTGTGACAATGTAATGTACTAACTTTCTGTATCTCACTTTTTTACAATCACACACATTAGTGTACCGGGTAAACTAGTGAAAATAAATTAATCGAATTTTAAAAATGATTACAAATATTACTCAAAACAACTATACAAAGATTCAGTGTATCTGTTTCCTTCACAAGTTCTAATTATAGACTACAAGCCAAAACATTTGAAAAAGCAAAAGGTAAAATCTGAGCATCACGTTCCCTCAGCATATCTATTCCTTGGAAAGTGTTTTTGACATACTTTCCATCAAATTCAAATATAAATACTGCAGACTGGTTTCAAGAAAAAAAAATTAAGAAAACAGGAAAAGAGAAGTCATACAGTAAAATGAATGGCTGAATGGTCTTTCCCCTGTTATGTTGAATGAATGGCTGAATGGCCTTTCCCCTGTTGAGTAGAATCCCAGAAAATTGCTAAATTATCTTATAAACACATCATTTGCATAGACTAATTATGCAAATAACCCAGGAAACAGAACAATAGGACAAATGAGAGTGTGATTGAATCGATCATCTAGAAAAATCACTTCTTTAATAGCACAGATAAAATTTCATCAGAACATAGAAACACAATTGCAACCATTCCATACCAAAAGAGGAAGAGAGGAAATACTGGTAATATATAAAAGCAATAGAACAGTAGACAGATTCAAGGGGGGCCAGGGGGATGAGCCTTGTAAACTGATCAGTTTACCAGGCAATAGCCCTGCTGAACTCAGTAGTCTTCGCCATCTTCTTCATCATCCACACCTTCTGCACCAACTTCCTCGTAATCTTTCTCAAGAGCAGCTAGATCTTCACGGGCTTCAGAGAATTCTCCTTCCTCCATGCCTTCCCCAACATACCAGTGAACAAATGCCCTCTTGGCATACATGAGATCGAATTTGTGGTCTATGCGTGAGAAAACCTCAGCCACAGCTGTGTTGTTGCTGATCATGCACACAGCTCTCTGCACCTTAGCAAGATCACCCCCAGGAACCACTGTTGGAGGCTGATAGTTGATACCGCATTTGAAACCAGTTGGGCACCTACGAAATCCAGAAATACCAAGTCTTTTAGATTGGATAAAAAATGTTCTTCAAAAAAACGATGCTTAGAGGGGATCACAACCTCGGTGCCTATCCGCAAGGGCAGCAAAAGACCAGAAGCATGTATTGCTATATAATGAATTGGAGGAAACTTGGTGATTCACAACTATTTACATGCCAACCAGAATGTTCTAAGAGGAAATATATGATGTATGTCCTCATGGTATGATAACTAAAAGGTAAAGACTACACCTAAGCAAAATCCAGGAGACTATAGAGCGCTACCAGCTTGAATGAATTTAATTTCATAATCCACGAATCACAACTTGACTGGGGAAAAAATTGTCTCCTCATGATTTACCCATTTCCAAATCATATAAAGGAAGTAATGCCCAATATAGTTTTAAATTTAAATCACGAAATGCTACCCCATTTTGTAAATCATTTTCTATGTATGTCTCCTCAACCGATTATTTGCCCATTATAAGTAGTGCATTATTCTTACCAGTCAACAAACTGAACCGTCCGTTTTGTCTTGATGGTGGCAACAGCAGCATTGACATCCTTAGGAACAACATCTCCACGGTACATCAAGCAGCATGCCATATATTTCCCGTGCCTTGGATCGCATTTTGCCATCATGCTTGCTGGCTCAAACACTGCATTTGTGATCTCAGGAACTGATAGCTGCTCATGGTATGCTTTCTCAGCAGAGATAACAGGGGCATATGAGGAAAGCATAAAATGGATACGAGGATATGGTACAAGGTTAGTCTGGAACTCAGTAACATCCACATTAATAGCTCCATCAAACCTTAAAGAAGTAGTCAAGGATGATATGATTTGTGAAATCAATCGGTTCAAATTGGTGTAAGTAGGCCTTTCAATATCGAGGGATCTCCGACAGATATCATAAATGGCTTCATTGTCCAATAGCACAGCAACATCTGTGTGTTCAAGTAGGGAATGAGTAGAGAGAACGCTGTTATAAGGCTCCACAACTGCAGTTGAAACCTGCAATCACCAAGAGTTAGCTGCAGCTAGTTGACGTAAAACCACAACCAAAGTGAGTCTTCAAAGTCGTAATTTCGTTGACATCAAATTAGCCAAACAGTGGCCATTATCAATAAATGCAGTTCATAACTACTGATATTTCTCCAGTTCCATGAGTTCATGTCCATCAAACCAGAAATAGAAGGGCAAGTTTCACTCTGCCTTCTTGATGTCTCTACACTTCATCCATTCATTAGATTTGTGGACCAAAATGTTTATAATTTCCCTCAAACATAACTGGATGTGTGGCTGCTTGTGACTGGTATACATAAAACAAATATACGGGACAAAAATACCCTTTTAGTTCTTTCAAAATGCCCATACCCTTATCCCTCCAACAATTTTTTTTCCTGTTGTTTATTCTATTGGTTTGACCAATCTTTTTTTTTTTTTTTTTCTAATTTCTGGTTCAGCTACCGGGCAGGGGTACAGTACATTCAGCAACAAAATCATATGCCTCCCTCTTTCCTTCCAATGAAACCATGACCCAACCCCGCCAATCCATTCATACCATTGCGACACCCCCTCCCATCAAGCAATGCCACAATTGATGCACACCAATTTCACTACCTACATTTCTCCCCATGTCCTCACCACTGTAGTTGATAAATTCACCACATCAAACACACAAAAATATTGACATGCCCAAATCAATGAAGTATAAACTTAAAAGAGAAAATTTCATCTCGAGATAGCGGTAGAGCTGTGAAGCTCCAAGGAAGAATATGTTGTATTGGATGCTGGTTGTGGTGGAGCAATTTTTAATGGGTGAGTGACAGGTTAATGAAAGGGAGAGAAGAGGGGGGTAGTGCTCAGTGGGTGGGGGACGTACCCATGCTTAGATTTATAGTAAAATCCTTGAGCTTGTTCTTAATGTTTTAGTATTTATCCTGTGATTGGGAAAAAAATTATTTTGAACTGATTTTTTGGCGGGAATCTTAGAACAATCTTCAATATAGTTTGGATTGGTAAAGGTGGTGGAACGTGCTCTTCCTTTTTTTCCAAATCCTCAAATAGTATGAGAGCAATGTGGCAGGGGGTGAAGGGCATAGGAGCCTAGCCAGATAATAAAGTTTACTATGAATAACAATTACTATTCACTACTATGAAGGACCAATGACCACATGACAATCCCGCAAAAAACACCTGGGAGATTGAGGGAACTAGTGTTTAATTGTACGCACCTGAGGAGAAGGATAGATGGTAAACCCAAGCTTTGACTTCTTTCCATAGTCTACAGACAAGCGTTCCAACAACAAGGAACCCAAACCAGAACCAGTGCCACCGCCAACAGCACTAAACACCAAAAATCCTTGCAAACCCGTGCAGTTATCCGCCAACTTTCTCACTCGATCAAGGCATAGATCAACAATCTCCTTTCCCACTGCAATTAATCACCAAAATTATAAGAGTCTATAATAACAGACAGACACAAATCTATAAACAAAATAGATTACCTGTATAATGCCCTCTAGCAAAATTATTTGCAGCATCTTCCTTTCCAGAAATGAGCTGCTCAGGATGGAAAAGCTGGCGATAAGTCCCTGACCTAACTTCATCAATGACGGTTGGTTCCAGGTCAACAAATATTGCTCTGGGCACATGCTTACCAGCGCCAGTCTCACTGAAGAAGGTATTGAAAGCATCATGTGCCACACCTGGTGTTGTGTCACTGCAAGACAAATAATTTTGTTAAGATATATGATCTATATCAACAAATGATTTCCACAAATATAGAAGGTTAATGTGAACCCCTGATACCCACTAATGAATCCCAAAAGTAATGTATATGGTGAGCAAGCTTAAATTCATCTGCCATTGAATGATGCAATCACCAATCCATCAAAGATCATTCATAAAAAATTGTATAGTATTTCTTCCATCAATTTTAAAACAAAAGGATAACCATACACTATTATTTGGAAAAGTGTCATTGTTATATAAATCTATGTAGAGATAAGAGATGGTAAAGTTTATCATATTGGAAATGAAAAAATAAAATTCCTAAAGCAGTTGACATCTTTATTTTTAAATTAGGACCCAGATCGGAAGAGCTCCCCATTTTTCAAAAACCAGGTAAGACTTATTTTTCCTTGATTTTCTTAGCAACTAATCAACCTGACAAATAGGATGACAGAACTATGAATGCTTCTAAACAAAATATAAACATTCATTACAAGTATTAAATAGCTTAAAGGTAAACGATCACAGAAGTCAGTACACATGTTTTAAACAGAAGATAGCGACTTTAATCTTGGTGTCACCAAGAGGGAAAAAAGGACATAATTCGAGTTCATGTTCGATAGATGAAGCACGTTAATGGAGTCAACCACAATAACAGCCAGAAATTCCAATTCATGCCACAATAACATGGTTTTTAATAGTATGGATTGCACACCAACTAAATTGCCTCCACAAAACCACCAAAAAATCATTTCAAACAAAGATAACACATAACGAACCTATATTTGGAATGAAATCCACCAAATAAAACAGGAAACAAATTGGGTAGCCTTCTTCGATCAAACAGCCTAACTTACATTCAAAATATATGACCAGTTATACAAATAAACATACGCAACACTACATATACATCCAAGTGTAAGCAGAGACTCGCATTATCGCATATGTGTTTGTGAGTTCGAGTCTCCTTCATCCAACACCATAAATTAACTAAAAAATGTGCGTTAATTGCAAATGCAATGATAGATTCGCATGTGGGTGAAGTGTGGAGTACGTGAAAAATTAAATACAAAAATACATTTATGTATGCGAGTATATGAATGTAAATACGATTTAATAGATGCACAAATGCATAGACAGAGATATACATATAGATATACCTAGGCATCATTCCATCGGGGTTAATTCCATGTTCGAGGCAATAGAGCTCCCAACATGAATTTCCTACCTGAATTCCTGCTTGCCCTATGTGTATGCTTATGATTTCTCTCATCTCTCTCTCTCTCTCTCTCTCTCTCTCGCTCTTTCTCTCTCTCTGTAGATCGATTCAGCCAGTCCTTCAACTGCTTCAAAACCACTCAGCCCTTTTTTCTGTCCCTAGAGTCTCTCTCGCTCTCTAGGTCTTTGGATCCAATGGAAACCAGAGAAAATGTCTCTCTGTCCACATATGGCTGTGTTTCTATATATGTGCGTCTGTCTGTAACTTAATAATGGGGGATTTGATAAATGTTTGGAATCCGCTGTGTGGTCCCACCATTTGCCGCCAGCCTGTTTTTTTGGGCCCCACTTATCAGCTTCTTTGTTCCTTTAAGCTTGCTCCATTATGAAATTACCATTTTACCATCTCCAGTCAATCGTATTGAAAACCTCGTTCCAAAAACAAGAAAAAAATCTGTTTGTAAACCACTTCGTCTCAATGGATAATTTTAGAACTGCAATTTGTATATAGAATTTGAAAATCTAAGTTATTGATGTCAATGAGTCTTCGTATCAAACGGGGTGACAACAATCACAAATATCACTTCATTAATTTCTTAAATTAGGTTCTAATATTAGGTTAAACTAGCAATCAAGTATTGTTTAATTTATCTCAATTTCCTGACCAAAAAAAAATCTCAATTTAATTATCACCATGTTACCCAAATTATGTTTTTATAAAATTACAATTTAAACCCCATTCATTTATCTAGTTTATAAATGTAATATAGTGTTACTAGTAATAATTATGTGCCTAAATATACTTTGTAACATTAAAAATCGAACACTGATAATTTAACATTAATATTTTAAATATTAATTTATATTTTTATTTAAAATTAAAATGAATATAGAAAAAATAATAGAGAGGCATGGAAAAAGAAAAAAGAGGTAAATATAGATTAGTGTAGTCGGTTGACATTGATGAGTGTGTTAATTGAATTGATATTTTGTAGCGCGAAATTTTTTTTTGTAATAAATTTTGTACTATTAGATTAAAGATATGTTGCAATACCAAAAATCGAATATCTATTTATATTTTAAATAGTAAGTTATTTTCTTTTTCTTTTTTAATTATATAAGTTAAAATTAAAATGAATAGAGAAAAGTAGGGGAGAGACAAGAGAGAGGTACGTGTTGATTAATTGAGTTATTTGACGTGGGAGAGTGAGTAGTTGAAATGTTTGACATTATGGCCGTATATAGAAAATAATTCTTTGAGCAATTTTTTTTAGGATGAATATTATATCATTGGATCAAAGTAAATAAAAACTAGTGGGCCTCTCGTGCAATGCACATAATTTGTTTCCCCCACCATTACTTGTTTCACCATTTTTTAAGCCTCATATTACTGAAAAATTACCTATTAATGAGTTAAATTTTATGTTAAATATACAAAAGTGAATAAAATGAGTGAAAATTTAAATTTGAAATAAAGGATAGTGGGAGTAGCTAGGAAATTAAATATTTTTAAAAAATTAGTATTTAGAGAAGAAAAGCTTCTCAAGCCCTCTCACAAAAAAAATATTTGTAATATATATATAGATTGAACCAATTTTTGTCCGTTGTTTTGTTTTTACAAGTTAAGAATTCAACCACCTAAATGTAATATTAGATAGACTAGCAATTGTTGGAGCAACTTTGGGCATAAATAAAAGTGGGACCCACACCTTCAAATTGGTGGGACCTTATTTAAATGTGTTATTTTTCGTGAGGAAATTAACATGATATATTTAATTGTTCAAAATCATTAAGTATTGAATGAAAAATTATATCTCAAAATGACCCACTCGAATAGATGAAAGAAACTAAGACTGATATGGTGTAGTGTAATAATCCTTGTTCCATATTGGAAAGAAGCAAAAAACTTGGTAAGCTAATATACTCCTACTTAGCTTCTTGGGTTGGGCCTTAATGGGTACTACACTTTTGTGAGCAGATCAAGTACTTGCACAACCTTAGTTACCACGCGTCGCCTTGCCTCGACCACAACTCGACCCAGCAAGGTTTAGGCTTGGGCTTGGTCTAACAAGATCTTATCTTTTCACTGAAAATTTATTTGGCACGATGTGGGTTATGGGCCAAACCAAATCGATCTAAATTTAGATTGCACTTATTCTTCCAACCGAAATTTAAATTTTTGTCTGTTATAATTTTGAAGGTGGCGCCATTTTGGAGAAGTGCTTCTCCACGCCCAAGATGTCTTTCATGACTGTTATTTGAATAGTGGTGTCTCGTGTCTCTTCAGACAATCCGAATAGACACAATAGGGTCTATAAAAGGACTGTCTTGAAACCATTTTCAAATACGAAAAACATACAGTAAATTTTTGCATATACTACATCTATTCTCTCTCTTTCTACATTACATATCTATTTGATTCAAGTAAAAACACAAGTTGTGTTCATTGATTTTTGGAGATTCAATTAACTGAGTTTCATAGGGTTCANCTTGTGGAAAGAAACTTACCTTGAACAAAGTGCTTCATATGCCCAATATTCGTAAGAATTTGATGTCCGACTCTCTACTTAGCAAGAATGGTTCTAAGTTAGTCTTTGTATCTGATAATTTTANTTATTATTATTGTTTTACAATTCTGTAAGTACATTATTTTTATTCTATAAGTGCATTATTTCTATTATGTTTCTACAATTGTTTTGCTTATAACATTATGCATACTGATTATAATTTTGATTATAATATTGTTTAACAATTTTAAGACAAATTTCTGAAATTCACTTCTTTATATAGTTAGATTAATTATTGTTCTATCTAAATCAAAATTTTTGGATTTTGTTATATTACTGTATTCCTTTTTATTAAAACCAGAATGTAATTTGCTTAATGTTATGTAACAAAAATGGCTACAAAAGAATTATGTTTCTACTAANTATTGCACCTAAGTCTATTAATAATAAGAATAAGATGAATTCTTCTTACTTGCTTGAATCTTCAAATACATCACTCCTTTCATTCTGGGTTGATAGAGGGATTGTACCATTCGAGCCATTTTTTTCATACTTTTTTGGGAGGTCAAGAGAAAGCTACAATAAATAGGATTTCCCTAATCCTCTCTTCGAAGAACATGAAACTATTTTTTCTTTCCATAGGGACCAGGATATTAGATTTAGCCGAAAAAGAATGTTTGGTATAAATAAGTCATTTCTTGGTCTTTGACTCCCTCAGTCACTACGAATGCCCCCGATCAGTGCCGTGGGATGTGTCTATTTATCTATCACTTGACTTGAAATGAGAGCAGGTTTGAAAAAGGATCTTAGAGCGTCTAGGGTTGGGCCATAAGGGTATCTTAACGTCTTCTTTTTTCTTCTCATTAGAGTTATTTAACAAAGACTTGCCATGGTATAGAAGAAAGGGGGAACAAGCTCACTTGGACAACACAGTACAATGGAGAGTTGTATGTTGTGTTCGAGAAGGATGAATCGCTCTGGAAAAGGAATGTAATGATTTTGTCCCAATTAGTTGGACCGTAGGTGTGATGATTTACTTCACGAGCGAGGTCTTTGGTTCAAGTCCAGGATGGCCTAGTTGCGTCAGTGAAAATAATAGAAGAAGCATCTCACTCCTTCATGCATGCTCCACTTTGCTTGGAGGCATATATCTCAGTTGGTAGAGCTTCGTTCTTGTAATTGGGTTGTTGCAATTATGGATTGATCTCCTCCTGAATAAGGAACATTTTTAATATGCACTACGTGTCAACTGTCAAAGCACTACAATCTTCCCTTTTTCTAATAGTTATAGAAAGCCATGATCAGAGCCTTCCCCCCTCTTTTCTATAGGCTATGGGGATCAAATCCTGTCTCTTCTGACTCTGCAGTTCAGTATTTTTTGGCTTCATAGATGATCACGCTTGAATTAGATGATTCTATATGATGAAATAAAAAAGTGAAGTTAGTGCAATGTTTCAAGCCTTTTCTTGTAATGTTCTTACCCCCTTTGACTCTTCGTTCTCGACCGTATTCATAGCTCCCATTCACAGTTTTGCTACAAAATGATACACGAGGAATCTTTTTATGGTGATTCTTCCTTCTAATGATCGGCATTTGTATGATTCTTTTCTCCCAAATGAAGCAACAAGCATCGGTCTGTAGAACCTATAAAAAATAGATGGTTGTGGCGCGTAATACTCTTATGCACCTACGTCACCCGGCTCGCGTGCAACCCCGCCTCATTAAGTTATGGAAGAATTGAGTTTATTGTTGGGCTAGTTATTTAGAGCCTACAATTGGTTGTTGGATTTTGTTCCACAACTAGAAGAATATCACTTCGGGGGTCATTATGGAGTGGCTGAATGTAGAGTAGTCCGCCCTTACAACCTTTGATTAGTAGATTCTTTATAACTTCGAAAGATATTCAAGGTAGCTTGCTTCCAAGCCACTGCACTAGATGCACATATAGTCGGCTTAGAATGCCTCTGCTCTATACTAAAATACTCTTTTGAATGAATGAGGACTTATGTCACTCTTTAATCTATAAAATAAGGCCTACGAGCTGTGACGCCCCTAAAATCGGGGGTCCTTTTTCAACCGTTGAACAACCGCTAACCGGCGGAAGTATCCGTGATTGTTGCACAACCCGACATCACGTCAATAACATCCCCCTTAACTGGGATTATAACCCACACGTGTAACCCGTGTACATTTTACCATTTAACTCAACTGAGGTCCAATATACCAAAATTTATACTTATTCAATGTCCATTTATATCATTTGAACCAAATAACCCAAAGTCCAAAAGCATGGCACAACATTCTTAAAATTTGAGATTTTTGAAAAACCTATCGGTAGGTTCGGCCCACTAGAAAAATTCTACCGGTAGGTTGTGCCTGCTGAACAAAGTTCTACCGGTAAGTTAATGTTCTACCAGTAGGTTAAGGTTCTACCGGTAGGTTTTGCCTGCTAGACAACGTTTTACCGGTAGATTTTGCCCAGATTTGCCTGTTTTACCTATTTTTAGTTTCCAATTCATTCCAAAACCCATCCAACTCATATAAGACATATTTAATCAATATTTTCATATAACACAAGACCCGTACAATTTCGATTACATTCATTTCCATGAATTTACATACCAAAACTAAGTTTTCATAATAATTTTACAAAACTCAAAAATAAAGCCACAAATCGATTTTTCTTCATCTTTGAGGCCCTGAGTGAGAGCCTTCCACCGGC